GCTTAGCACAATGCTAACTCTTGATAACTTTTTGTATAGCTGCTAAGGTGAGATGTCAATCTGTTGCAAAGAAAGAAGGGTCACTGAAATCGAACAGTCGAGAGTTCACATACTCTGAGTGTGAGCATGACCAATAATTTCGAAAGAGTTCTTGGAAAGGAGGTTGGAACTGTTTACCTTGGCTACTTGGTTGATGGAACCACAGTTGCTGTCAAAATGCTCTGTCCATCATCAACTCAAGCATCTATCAATTCGAACTGAGGTTAGATTCTATCCGGAAACCAACAGACTAATATTAAGTATATCAATTGGTTATAACATACATTTTATCTGGAGTATACTTGAATCTGGTTATATTAAATGTTATCTTGATCAACAGCCTCAGTTCTTGATTAGAGTTCATCCACAGGAACTTAGCTTCTTTTGTCGGATACTGCAATGATAGCAGAAACTTTGCAATCCTATAGTACATGGCATATGGAAACTTAGAGGAGTATCTATTGTAATAGTCATGTTAATTTCCCTGAAAGGCATTCCTAATTTCACACTTAAATATTAATTTCGTTTACAAAAATGGTAAATGAGACTAGTTTGTCACAATTCTTGCTCCAGATAAACGTAAAGAACTCTGATGTTGAAAGAGAGAGTTGAGATTGCACTTGGTGCTGCACAAGGTAATAATAAGCGAATACCTTTTAGTATACTAATTTTCAATTTTCATGTGTTCTAGCCAAGCCAACAATTCTAAAATTCTCTGTACAGGGCTAGAGTACTTGCCCATGGTTGCAAGCCCCCAATAATTCACAGAGATGTGAAGCCTGCAAACATTTTGTAAATGAGAAAATGGAGGCCAAGATCGGAGATTTTGGTTTCTCCAAGTTTTTCCAATTGAAGTGGAAGCCATATTTGCCATCAATTGTCGGCACAGTGGTTTCTTGATCCGGAGTAAGTAATATAAGCAAAATGTAGCAAAAGTTTAAAGTTTGTTAACAGATACAAACAATTCTGATAATTTCAAAATCTTGTAACTCCTTACTGCAGTTCTTTGGTTGTGAACCTACTTTTCTATCATTTCTCTGGTTTCTGCAGGTATTATTTGTACAGGTTGGCCGAGAAAAGTGATGTGTATAGTTTTGGAGTCGTACTCTTGGAACTGATTACTGGTCAGCCTGCTGTGATGAAAGGCAATGTTGAAACATTCATATATTCACTGGTTTAGTCCATTTCTTGAAGGAGGTGATGTAAGAAGCATTGTTGATCAGAGGCTAGAGGAAATTTTGACACAATTCTGTTTGGAAAGCGTAGAGACAGCAATGGATGTTTGCCACCATTTCCATCCAGAGGCCAATATGAGTCATGTGGTAATGCAATTGAAAGAGTGTTTGGAGATGCAATTGCTCGTGAACAAGCGTCACAATTGAGAGTCAAATGATGGAATCAAACAATTCAATGGACATGAGTCCTGTTGATCTTGAAACAGAAAAGGTCCGGAAGCAAATAGAAAGTAGACTATTGAATCATGTTTTTAGTTTATAATCTTATGAAAATGAGAATATGTACATTTTAGGATTTGGTGCCCTGGAATGAGAAATGAAACAGAATATTGTTAGCCTTCACGTTAATTGGCAGTAGAAATGAAAATTCTGAAAACCAAAACTTTTTACCATTCAATCGATGAAAATGACAGCAAATTTCCAGTTGGGCTGCATTTGATTTGCAGAGATAAATAGCATGACCTTCTGGAGCTTAAAGACTGGCAAGTCATTTTTTCGGCTCCCCTTTCTGTACGTTATAACTAAAGTTAGTCAACTATTCGGCTAGACCCAGACAAAGGGTTAAGTTGTGACTTTTTCTAGAACTCTATATTTAGCTTGAAAGTTTAGAAATTATGCCAAATTTGTGTTGGAAATGAGGCCACTGCAAGGCAACTTCAAATCAATAATTGGAAATTAAGACATAAAATACTTGTTGATAAATTAAACCCTTTTATAGTGCTCTAGTTTAAACTCTTTTCACTAATGATGTGTGATGACACCTCACAGAAGCCTGGACCCTATACAACTTCTAAACCGCACATGCTGAGAACACTAGCTGTACTCTCTTCCGCAACATCCGCTAGATTAATTGAAGTCCATTGCATGCTTTATGAACCAACACACAGGTAGGACTTATATAAATGTCCCACAACATTTACTGATTCGAACCAAAGAGATCAGCATTGTTGGTGGTGTGGGCAGGCCATTTTTTGTCCGAAACTATGTGTGGTCTTTTCAAGTCATCATCTGTCAACAACTCAAAACTAGCGGGGGCAGATAATGAACATCTGTCATGAAGGTTGCCAGTGACCATTCTGGTTAGTTACATTTGTCTATAGAATTCGGTGTATAATGCTTTGGTTCTGTTTTCAATCCTAAGTCAAATACTTTTCAAGACACTTTATAGCTCTCTGTCCTTATGATATCAAAATTTATGGTCAGACATCTTAATTGCCTGATTGACTCCTTTTTTTCTGTCAAATATGATTTCTAGGTTTTATACATTGATTGCGGAGCGACTGGAGATTACATAGACATGTAACTGGTCTATATTACGAGTCAGATGCAAAATATATTGATACAGGAGAAATCCATGAGGTATCGTATCTCCCAACTTCGCCAACCTCACCCTGGCAGTTTACCAACAGCAGGTAACCATTTGAGGAGCTTTCCTCAAGGAACGGGATTGTTACACACAGAAGCCTAACAAGGTGCAAACCATAATTATCTATCAGGCTGTCTTTGTATATGAATTTATGTGGCAAAAACCAGTTCCCTCATTCGAGCTATATCTTGGTGTCAATAATGGTTGACTGTGGTCAACAGTGATATTTGAGATTATTCATGTTCCCTCAGTGGATTACATAGATGTGTGTCTTGTAAAGTCTGGCTATGGAGTACCCTTTATTTCAGTGTTGGATCTAAGGCCTATGGACGACTCCATTATCGGATTCAAGATGGTGCACTCTCCTACATGGGGAGAAGTGATGTTGGTGGTATTTCTCGCTTACCAGTAAATCATTTAAAGCATTCCAACAATGTTGTTTTTATCAAAAAATTCTTGAACTTACGGATTGATGAAATAACATACTGCATTTCATTATTTTCCTGTGGCAACCATTATTCATCACATTGATTCACATTTTCGGATATCAATTTTTCTCATTTAGGTACCCAGTTGACGTCTATGATCGCTTGTGGACTCCTCTTAATGTCAGTGACTCGACTGTCATTTCACACACGTCACAATATATACTCAAAGTTTGGATGTGGTTATAAAATACCAGCTGAAGTGCTGAACTGCTGCAAAATCACAGAATGCTAGCTTCCCCTGCGTTTATACTTTAACCTTCCAGATTTTTCTTCTCCAGTTTCTTTACTTCCACTTTACAGAGATTGAAAAGCTTAAGGAAGGCCAGAAAACGGGAATTGCGTATTGAGCTAAATGGTGAACGCAATCTTACAGAATCTATTAGTCTTGAATACCTAAGCCAACGACCATAGCTCCAAATACCCACCAATCAATGGCAATGGTAGTCTTCTTCATTTTTCTATTTATGCAGCGGAAGGTTCAGCTCTCCAATCCTTAATGCTGTCGAAGGTTTTGTGTTTGTAGAGTTACCACTTTCACCAACAAACATTAACGATGGTATTTTTCTTCTCTTCTGTTGTGAAATTAGCCAGTTTTTTTGTCTTCACTTCTCCTCAAATGGTTAATAACTGAATTCCTGTTTTTTCTTTTAAACCAACAGTTATGCTATCAAGGACCTCAAACAAAATACGGAGTGACTAGAAACTGGCAGGCGATCCATGTGTTCCAAGTAGTTTCTCATGGAAGGTCTGAATTGCACCATATGTTTGGCCAGGATCATCTCATTGTGAGTACACCTTCAAAGACAAAGTTCTCAATCAATGTAGTATAACTTTACTAATATTGCAAATATTCGGTGGAATTCTGTGGAAGGTCCTTCAACTTGGGGAAATTGGTTTGCACTTCTTTTTTCCATCGTTTTCTGAGTTAATGGAGATGCATTCTCTTGTGAACTTCTGCAGGAATTTGAGCTCAAGCAAATTGACAGGGGAGATAGCAACCTCACTGTCCAATCTTGAAGCATTACGATATTGTAAGCATAGTATATATATTAGTGATTGACTCTTAGCATTCAGTTACTGTATTAAGCCAAAGAAGATTACATTGGAGATTACCGGAAACTGTTGCACTAAGCCCCATCATAAAAATGACTACACATAAAGAGAACCCTTTTTTTTTATTCAGGGATTATCATACAACAACTTGATTGGGCCAATACCAGAATTTTTGGACAATTGCAAAATCTAAAGTCTGTAAGTATTCAACTTTGAGTTTAAAATCGGAACAACATTTTGGAGTAGGAGTGAAGATGATGTACATGTTTTTGAATTGCAGGAACTTAACTGGGAACAAACTCACTGGTTCAGTTCCAGATGCTCTTATGGAAAGTCCAGTGTAGAACATTGCTGTTAAGGTAATCAATTTCTCAGTGATATAATGCTTATGGTTCTTTCCTAATTCCTTATTATTATTATTTTTTAATATCTTTGTTGTTCTTTTTTTCTTTTTGTGTCATGCAAGACTTGAAGGAAACCCAGACTTTGCATGTCAGTTCCATGCCAAAAACAAAATGAAATTCATTATTCCACAATGTAACCACTCTAGTCATCTTGCTCATTCTGCTCCCCGCAGTGCTCTGGCTGTGTCCAAATTGAAAGAAAAAGAGTGTATATATCTTTCTTTCATTCTCCCGCAATTTACTTTGGAGCGTTTTTAAAAGATTATTATAGTCATTGGTGTTGAAATAATAGGTACTGTATCCAAGACGGAAGGGTCTCTGATCAAAAAATCGAAAATTTACTTTCTCTGAGTATTGTTACTATCACTGATAACTTTAAAACCGTTATCGGAGAAGGAGGATTTGAAAAGTTTACATGGGCACTCTGAAAGATGACACTGAAGTTGCTGTTAAGGTTCTCCGCCGTCATCAAGACACTATAAGGAATTTCAAGCAAGGGTCAGCCAGAGTTTCAATCACTTGAATTTCATCAATATTGATCTATAACAGTATCAATGTGAATGCAGGCACAACTCTTGATGATTGTTCATCATAGGAACTTGGTTTCCCTGATCGTTACTGTGATGACCGTGACATAAGGCATTAATTTTATCATAGGTCAATGGAAACTTGAGACAGTATTTATTAGGTATGCAAGATTTTATTTCTTTCCTGACTTGAAATAATGTTTAAAATGTATTTGATAATGGATGTTGGAAATCTACGCTGAAAAGCTCTTATGTTTGATTGATTACGAGATGGACACAAATTTGCTGACTGGAGTGATAGACTCAAATTGCGGTCGATGCAGCCAATGGTTTGGAAGCAGAACTAATTCATAGTTATATATCTCTAATGATTTTGGCCAATTTCACTTTCTTTACAGCTACTTAACTAGTCTGAACTGGCGTTGCAGGTTGGATTATCTACACAATGGTTGCAAACCACCAACAATCCACAGGGACTTGAAGCCTTCCAACATTTTACTAAATGAAAACATGCAAGCAAAACTAGCCGATTTCGGACTCTCCAGGTTAATCTATAAAGAAGTGATTCGGGTCTAGAAACTTCCCTGCTGGTACTCCTGGATACATAGATCCTGAGTAGTTCTAAAACTTAACAAAATATTTATGCAGTTATGTTATTTAAGTTATTAATATTCTTGGTGAATGTTCATCTCACTTCTGTTTTCTGATAGAGTCTATGTAAGTGGGATTTATAAACAAGAAAAGTGTGTTTATAGCTTCGGATTATTCTGTTTCACTTATCACTGGACAACCTACAATAAGAGAAGCCTCGGCGACGCCAGAGTACTACTTCAGCGTGTGATTCCGGTAATTGAAAGAGGGGATATCCAAAACCTTGTCGATCCAAGATTAGAAGGACAATTCAACGATAATGCAGCTTGGAAAATAGCGGAGATCGCCATGTCATGTGTATTACCAAGCGCAGCTCAAAGACCGGACATGAGTCATGTACTGGCTGAACTGAAGGAATGTTTGGCTACTGAGGCGGATCCTAGAAGACCCTACCGAACAGAAAGCATCAACACAAGTTCAAGTGATTTACTTAATGAGGTCTGCATTGAGCCTGGAATGGGGATAGTCCCCATCACAAGGTAACTACTGAATATGTTTTTCAGTATGCAGGTAGTAACAGCATAGCATTCCAATATCAGATTTTACATCATTACCGAATGAAAATTTAAGTTACTTTATAAGCTTTGAGTCTGCCTCAACGGCTCAACCAAGTATAATATAGCATTTCTGGTGGCTATTGTATTGTATGTGAGTTTGTACAATAAATTTCCTTTTCCTAACTAATTGTTGCGAATTTTTTCCACGTCTGGCAATGAAATTTTGGCTAGTTTTTGTTGTGATTCAAAATTAGAATTTCAAGAATTAATATACAATTTCAATAATTTTTAGTTGAATTCTCAGGGTAACAATATACCGTATAGATAAAGATTGACTCACAACTTAATCTTATAAACTTTCTCTCATAATCCCGACGTGGCAGCTTGCAATTGGACAAAGAGGATTCATAGCGAGCAAGCGGAACCCATTTGCGAGATAACTAATTACGAGCTGTCACGTCAAGATTGTGTGATAAAGTTTGTGAGATTGAGTTGTAAGTATAGTATTACCTATATTGTATACATGCTATGAATTATTGTCCATAGTAGTGGATTCCTAACTATATTCTCTATATCCTTAACTTTTAAAACAATTTTAATCATACATGTTCTAATCAACCAAATGCCTCATCAAATATTATCATCTAAGAATAAAGGCAAGTCAACTCAACTGGACTGTTTGATGCTCAAACTTGAACGAGTTGAATCAATCAAATTATGCTCCAAGAAAGTTGCCTGCAAGATCACCCCTTATCAGGGTAGACCCGAAATATTTTCTTGTGGTTTCAACTATAATGTTCAATGAACTAGTTAAAGTTCAGAGAATAAAGGGATCATAAAAGGCCAAAGAGTATTGACTGACTCGTTAACTTTGTCATTTAAAGTAAGTCAAGGTCAAGCAACCAAATATGAAAGTGCCGAATTACATTTTCGTACCTTATGTTTGGCGCAGGAATATTGATATTGTATTGACTCCTAAGTCAACAATTAATATATTATACTATAATTTTTTTAAAGCGATGGACATTAACAATTAAGATCACATTTTTCTTTGTAATTAAATCTCCTCTTACCGCACTCTCTCATTTTCCACTTCTTGTCCCTTAATTGATAACTATATAAATGTTTTTATGAAATTATTTTTACCATCTACTCGATTAACTATATTTAAAGGTTATCTTCACATAAAAAAGAAGCTAATTGTGTTTTAAAATGACCAACCCACACTTATCCCAGTAAAGTGAAATTAGCTCCTAATACTTTATATATGTCCTGATACAAGTGTACTATTTTTTTTTTTTTTTTTTTTTTTGTATTTTTTATGACCGAGGGTGTCCAGACCAGTTTGTATGCATCATAACTAATTCCTTGGGACCTTGGAACTATCAGTTGCGTAAGAACTCCAGTGGCCACCCTTATTAGGGGTCATGGGGACTCAAACTTGGAAGACTATGTTAAATTCTTCTTTTACTCTTTTACCATCAAAGAGACTCGAAACCTAGGAGACCATGTTAGATCCTCCTACTTGAGAGACCATATTAGATTCTCTTCTTACTCTTTTACAATTAAGAGTACTCGCAATTTGAGAGATTATGTTAGATCTTCATCTTCATTTGCTCTTTTAATATCAGGCTACCCAGTGGTAGTTAAATATTCTAAGTTGCTTTCATCTTGTTTCACAAAAGTCCAAAAATACTTTAACAAAATGTGTAAAAAAAAAAAAAAAAAAAAAACCATAATATTGCCAATTAGTTGATATTAAAGGCCAACAAGATGATCAAATTACTTAATTTAGTTATAACTAGAGGCACATAGTTAATGAATTTGGCTAAAGTTCATTCATGTTCAATAAATAGTACTGATTTTAGTTTTAAGAGTAATTCTACAAATATAAATTTTGTATATAAACTCAATTTGTATTGATTTATTTTATATTAAATCGTGTATTATTCTAGTTTTAAAGCTGAAACTTATGGTATGCATAAATGAAATTAATTTATAAGTAATAATTTATTGACTAATGTCAACAAAGATAATACTAAAAAGATGTGTGACACTTGCACATATTGTAGGATTAATTAATTAATTGGGCAAAGGAGTACCCACACGCCGGATAATTCAAAAAGTATGTGACAAAGTTGACGTGAATGAATTAACAGTAACAAAGTTGATGTGGATGGAATAACTCTAACAACTAATTGCTATAAATAAATTGTGTAATTATGTGACATAGGCCCTATTCTTCATTAATTTTTGTTGCATATGCATTGACTTAAAGTCAGATTAATTAATTCTATTATTCTACTTTTGACACCTAATTGATTGAGTTTGTGAAAAGGAATTAATATATTTAATTAAATACCAACCATAGGCCTTCAAATATTAACTTTGTTGGATGTAGTTTGTTAATTAGGTAAACTAAGGTAAATCGTGGTATTACTTATTCTTTTTACTGTTTGTGTTTGTGTGTTTACTGTTGTCTTGGTTTCGTATTTGTCTTTATTTTGTTCAAAGCATGACTAACCAATTTGATATGCGACAAGCATGCCATTTGAGTCCTTTACAAAAAATTCCCAACATATTTAGTGAATCAATTCAACATATGAGGAAACACACCATCACCAGTCAAATATCTACAATGTGCTTTTTTATTTGAACATAAATAAATGAAAGGATTGAGGTAGAAATACTACGCATAATTTATTAATTTGGTCTTTGGGCTAGATACAAAATTTGATTCCTTTGTGATAGGGGTGAGCACGGGTAGCGGGTAGAACCGGAACTGGAACCGAAACCTACTTGGACCCGGTACTGTACGGATTGGTTTCAGTTCCATTTTATTGGAACCAACATTGTACGGTTCTGGTTCCGGTTCTTATGTGTGGAGGAACCGGAACCGAAATCGGAACTTGAAAAAAGAACCTGAAACGGGTACCCGGTTTGGAACCTGCTTGCAACCTGTAGCGGATACCTGATTTGGAACCTGTTTGGAACTGATTTTTGGAACCTGTTTTAGAACCTGGACTCCAATGAAATATTTGTGAATAATGGGGGGTTTTATTATTTTACATATAAAAAATTCAAAATAGAAAAAGTTAAAATTTTAGAATAACTTAATTAAATAAATATACAATGATACTTATTACATATAAACTACATCATATTAAAAACTTTAATATATTAATATTAAAGCTTTGGTTAATTAAGTGTATAATTGAAATTAGGATCCAATTAAAAGTGTTTTAATGTTATTAAAATAATCATTTTTGAATAAAATAGTATATTTGATTGAATAATAATATATTTAGTTATTTACTTCAATTATCAAGTTCTAAGTATATCTATAGTAAATTAGCAATTAATTAATTATATATGATAAATTGATAAACATTAATAAGTTTAATTACTAATTAAATATCATACTTAATCAATAGTTAAATGATTATTTAATTAATTATAATTTTATAACATTAATTAATTGATTTATAGTATAATTAATTATAGCATTACATTATAAATTTATAGTATAATTAGTTAATTACTTAATTAATTATAACATTTCATTACAAATATTAGTACAATACTTAATTAAATGATTGAAAATTTAATTAATTATAATATTACATTAAAGATTTATAGTATGATTACTTAATTCACTATAACATTACATTATAGTATGATCACATAATTAATTATAATATTACATAATTCAATGATTACTTAATTAATTATGATATTATGTTATAAACATTAGTAATTACTAATTTACTACATAAACATTAGCACAATACTTAATGAAATGATTAAATTTTTAATTAATTATAACATTACATAATTAGATGATTATGACATTATATTTTAAACAAATGATTACTAAATTAAAAGATTAAAAATTTAATTAATTAAGTGTTACATTATAGTTAAATAATTACTTAATTAAATTATAACATTATTACATTACATTATATTATGATCACTTAATTAATTATAGTATTACATAGTTAAATGATTACTTAATTAGTTATAAATTTATAACATTACATTATAAACATTAGTAATTTACTACATTATTACATTACTTAATTAAATGATTAAAAATTTAATTAATTATAATATTACATTAAAGATTTATAGTATGATTACTTAATTCACTATAACATTACATTATAGTATGATCACATAATTAATTATAACATTACATAATTAAATGATTACTTAATTGATTATGACATTATATTATAAACATTAGTAATTTACTACATAAACATTAGCACAATACTTAATTAAATGATTAGAAATTTAATTAATTATAACATATTAACATTACATTATAAATTTATAGTACGATTACTTAATTAATTGTAACATTACATTATAAACAAATGATTACTTAATTAAATTATTACGTAATTAATTATAACATTATTACATTACATTATATTATGATCACTTAATTAATTATAGCATTACATAGTTAAATGATTACTTAATTAGTTATAAATTTATAACATTACATTATTTACATTATTAATTTACTACATTAGTCATTAGTACATTACTTAATTAAATGGTTAAAAAATCTAATTAATTGTAACATTACATTATAAATTTATAGTATGATTACTTAATTAATTATAACATTACATTATAAACATTAGTACAATATTTAATTAAATAATTAGAAATTTAATTAATTATAACATTATATTATACATGTATAGTATGATTACTTAATTAATTATAACATTACATTATAATTAAATAATTACTTAATTAATTACAATATTATTATATTACATTATAAACATTAACAATTTATAACATTAAATTAACAATTTACACATGAATAATTGTTTGTGTCTTGGTTTTGATTGAGAAATTTTATGTGAATTGTGATGAATTGATTCAATTCAAGTGTTGCCTAGAGATTAGAGGATTTATGAGTTACATTGGACACAAACGAATGAGTAATTAAAATTTGTTAGGGGTGTATTTGTAAACTTTTAAGGTATTTTTGTCAATTTTAAACTAATAGGGAGGTAATTAATTTTTTATAGGGTACCTGGGAAAGGAACCAGAACTTGCATTTCAGGTTCCGGTTTCCTGAATTTAAGAACCTGCACTATGCAGTTCCAATTCCAGTTCCTTTTTTTGGGAACTTGCACTATGCGGTTCTGGTTCTGGTTCTCCCGAAAAATGCAGAGTACCAGGAACCGTTCACCCCTACTTTGTGGTAACTTCCTGGAACCGTTCTAATATTTTTTTGAATACGTACTTCAATTATGGTGGCAATTGTATTGTATGTGAGTTTGTACAATGGATTTCCTTTTACTAACTACAATTGTACGGCAATTGAAATATCATTCTTTAAAAGAAAAAATCTATTAATAAATAATTTTAATATGATTTTTTATCTTCTTTTTTAAGAAGAGTCTGTAATGAATAAAGATTGGTTAACAAACATTTTTTACTAACTTTCTCTCGTAAACGCGATATGATAATTCACAATTGATTAGCTTCTAATTAGTCAAATAAAATCCATTGTGAGTTGTCATATTGCGTTTATAAGAGAAAGTTAATGAGAATTGTTTGTCAGTATAATATTACCGACGTGTAATAGTATTTGAATCAGCTCAGACTCTTCTGCATTAGCTCACCACGAACTGGAGAGTTTTGAAAAACTTGTCTTAGAAGGCCAAAGCGTGTTGACTGACTTGTTAACTCGTCAATTAAAGTAAGTCAAGCCACTCAATATGAAAGTGCCGAATTACGTTTTCGTACCTTACTTTTTTTGCAGAAATTTGATAACCCTTGTTTTACAAACCACCTACCTATTCTCAACTTCTAGCGGTTAAAGGATGTTTATATCTTTTTCCATCGCATACATAAGCTTCTTCAACCCTAAACTTGAGAAAACTGTAATCTTTCTCAAATTCCTCTTGAACATAAGAAATTAAAATTATTTCAATATAAAGAAAACTGTACAAGATAAAATAAAATTTAACAAATGATGGGTAAGGTTATCTTTCATTTTGTGCTGTTAAATTATTCCTATCACTCTTTTCGGATTGATCCAATGGCCTCCATCACTTTTTCGTAGGTTCCAATAGTGAATACCATGGAAACCGTCACCCTGTTTCATAGAAATTCCCTCATTTCTCAGCATAATATTCTTCAAGATTTCTGCACATGTTGAACCCCCACCTTTTGCTGACTGGTTATTTTGTTCACTCATCACATGCGTGCCACAAAAAAGGACTGAGTTTCTTGTTTTGTCCAACTTTGAGAGGATGATTCCAAGGCATTGGAGAAAGTCCTTTTGATCCAATAGGTTGGGAAAGTGACACTACAATCCCAGCCGGTTAAATGATTATCATTAGAGGATTTTGATCACATTTAATGAAAGTTTTATATTATGGTAGTGGCAGAGGATTGCAGTATCACTTTCTAAATCTAATGGACTGAAGTTTTTTTCCCAAACATTGGCACAAATATCAAGAAATGACCTAGTGAGCAAGAGCAATGTATGTATAGAATAAAGATAAACTGACAAACACATCTCACAAATTTTCTCTTACAAACCCCACATGTCACCTAAGTTGGCAACCCCCACTAGAACTATCGCAGCAACCCCCACCAAAATTGTCGTAGAATGATTTCGACTAGAACTAAAAAACGATCATTTCTACATAGGGAACGACCGTTATGAATGGAGGAATGGTTGTTCCTTGGATGATGAACAACCATTCCTTGGATGAAATATGTCGTTCCTTGGATGGAATGGTCATTCCTTGGATGAGGAACGATCATTCCTCAGAACTGCTACGTTGAGTCTGTAAGAAAAAGTTTATATTACTGTATTTTATAAGTTTACCAAATTCACAGTAATAAAATTCTACGAGTCTTTGTATAAAATGATACTTCTTCTATATATACATAATAAGACAGCACAATTAAATGCATCAGTGATTAAATTAACCTGATCAATCAAATTCATCAATGTTTCAGTCAGTTGCCATCAATTAATTCCGACTTCCATTGTTTTTTCTTTCTGTAATGCAGACAAAACTCAGTTAAGCTTAGTCTCAATAACTGTTTACAGAGAATTGACTTTTGAATTTTGACTGAAAATAGACGAAGTTAATTGAATGAACTGACTTCAAGTTCAAGAATTTACAGTGTTTCATGGTGAAAGAACTTCCAGCTGCCATCTTAGGCTATAATTAATTAGTGTTGAAATTCAAACACTTGGACACAAGAAAGTCTCTGTTGCTGACTCTCTTCATCTTTGCCGTGGTGTTGTCTTCAACTTTGCCATGTAATTTAGCTGGAGTAACCCGGTCATGGTAATCAAATATATATCAACTTTAAATTACGTTAGTGTTCAACAATTAATATATTTGGGTTGAGTTCGAGAATATAACATTTTTTGCAGGTGATCGTCGTCTCCAGCAGCTGGGAGCTGTACAGCCAAAGCGACCAGTCTGTCCAGCTTATGTGTGCTGCACGGCTGCACCACCAGGTCAATGTTGCCGGTGCTGCGCTGTTCCTATTCAAACCCAATCATTGTTCATCTTTCCTTTTTCGCATAATATAAAAGCTGAATCTTATGGGATGATAACCATTTCATCCCTGAGGTTTGGCTTAACTACCTGTAGTCTTATGGAACTATAGAAGTTTTTAGTAAGGTTTGCTATTGACACTATGACAGGGGCTAAAATGTTACTAAAAAATTCTATGAGAGTAACGGGAAACTTAATCCAAATCTTGGGATGAAATTTATTTTCCAGACAAGTCTAAAGTCTTGCATATCAGGCTAGGCAGCAGGCCCAACCGCCCAAGGACGCTGAACAACGAGCGTTGAGATTTACGTATAGGGACAAATTTTGGGCCCTTGCGGCCCAAAAAAATTAATTTTCAATAAAATAAATTAAAATTTTAAAATTCAGGTAAACTCATATTTACAGTCCAAATTTTTCTGGTTGATGTATACCTGAAATCAGGAAATGTGATTTTAATGGGAGTAAACGACTGGTTTGCCTTAATGACTCGTTTCTACTCAAAAAGTTTCAAAATACCACTTTCCCACCCAAAGTTTATATTCCTATCAATCGTCAACCGATTCCAACATCTTTGTGACCCCACACCACCACTATTCTTTTCCCCGATCACTATTCACCAAAACCGCTCAAACCTTGCTCCCGCCAACCCCGCCAATCGCCGACAATTGAGCGACTTGTGTAATACACAACAATCCCTGCCAAGTCAAATTCCGACCAATCCCAACTACCAAAATCCAACATGCCACCATTAAAAGACTCATCGGCATCCCACATCTTCAAAAGCGCTAACAGTGTGGACCGATTTTTCTCTCCATTGTTCTGCAATTTGGATAGTAAATGAAATATAGACTTTGGGTGGAACACTGGTATTTTGAAACTTTTTGGGTGGAAAAGTGTCATGAAGGCAAACCTTGGGTGGGAAAAAGTCGTTTACTCTTTTAATGGCTAAATTAGGAGCCAAAAAATATAGGTATCTATGTGAGTTTTCAAAAGGGCTGTTTTGTAATTTTCTTATTTCATTTTCATCCTGGAAATCCCATTTATGAGCTAGACTGAGACATGCAACTAGTTCAAATGCCATTAATAACGAGATGAAGTTCAAGTCTTTGTTAAAGCTGGCATCAATATTAATTGTGTCTCCAGATGCCAAAAGCTGGCATTCAGAAATAAGAAGCACACTTGCTTACAAATTCTGAGAACCAAGACACAACGTTATTGACTATGACATTACCAATCACCAATGGCCATCAATTGCAATTAAAGACCAAAAATATCAAATTGCAATTCTCTCCTAATAATACAAGTTGGTATATGGTCCCTTTCATGTCTGCAATTTATGCTTTATAACCAGTTCCAATGAGTCTTTAATGGCTACCTTGAAGAAGAAATGGCTGCACAAAGTAGAGCTAAAGTGGGTTGGACTTCCATAGTTTGTTTTATTATCATATCACTCAAGACCATTTGTGATTGTACTGAAGAAGAATCAAGAGTTTTGGCTTCTGATGTTGCTTTAAAGCAGGCTAGAAGGAAATTAGATGACATTGGAGGTAAGTATTCTAGTACTTATAGTTCTTTAATTTGTGTATATAACTGAAATTCAATAAGAGACTTAATTGTGTTCATAATCAAACCTTGCTTTGATTATTTTTCTGGTTTTATGAATCATTATAGGCTCCATAAGCATCGATTGCGGTTTACCGCTAGGTTTCAGCTATACTGATGAGATAACAGATATAATTTACACATCTGATGAAGAACTTATTAACACTGGAGTGAATAAGTCCATATCTTCCAAGTTTAAGTCTGGTATTCTTCCAAAGACTCTTGAAAACGTTAGAAGTTTTCCCCAGGGAGAGAGAAATTGTTACACACTAAAACCTCTAGAAGGGAATGATACAATCTACTTGATAAGAGCTCTCTTTATGTATGGGGATTATGATGATGACGACAAATTGCCGGAATTTGATCTCTATGTCGGAGTTAATCGATGGGATAATGTGAGATTTGATAATGCATCTCATGTTGTGATTAAGGAGATTATTCATTTGGCCTTAACGGGTGAAATTTATGTTTGTCTCCTCAACATTGGTAAAGGGACTCCTTTTATATCAGCTTTGGAGCTAAGGCATTTCCATAATACCATTTACAGAACTCAACCAGAATCGGCTTTAGTTCTATACAGGCGTCTCGATGTTGGTTCAACAACCAATCAAACAGTCAGGTAAGTTTCTTTCATACTGTTTGGATTTGAATATCTGAATCTGGTTTAAGCTTGACTGCAAATGTCTATACATGTTTGTTGATATTGCACTCAGGTACAAAGATGATAGCTATGATCGGATGTGGGTTCCTTACCCGGGTTCTGGATCTATCAATACTTCGTCCACTGTCGATTCCCTGCTTGAATCAGAGTATAGGTTGCCATCAAAGGTCATGCAAACTGCTGCTAAGCCAATGAATATTAACGGTTCGTTGGAATTTGAGTTTGAAACTGGTGATTCTTCTCTTAAGTTTTATGTGTACATGCACTTTGCAGAACTTGAAATCCTCCAAGTGAATCAGTACAGAGAATTCATTATAGAGTTAAATGGTAATCTGTGGAAGGAATCTGTTGTTCCTGAGTATCTTAACTCAACTACTAGATTCAGCAAATATCCTATGAAAGGAAGCAAACTAAGTTTTTCTCTTAGGAAAACATCGAAGTCTACCCTTCCTCCCATTTTAAATGCATTAGAAATTTATGTTCTAAAAGATTTCTTACAAGCATCAACGGACCAAGGAGATGGTATGTTTCTGCTGATATTTTTCTTCTCTGTTGAAGCATATATTAGTCAATTTCATTTCTAATCTTTCTTCTAATATTATAGTTAATGCAATCATGAACATCAAGTCGAGGTATCAGGTGGGTGAAGGCTGGCAAGGGGACCCATGTGAACCAAAATACTCTTGGGATGGCCTAACTTGCAGCTACAATGGTTATGATCCCCCCAAAATCATCTCTTTGTGAGTGTTATCTTGTGCAAGAAGAATAAGGCTATTGAAACATTAACCAATAAAGAGACAAATTGATTAAGCTATTTTCTAGCTTACTTATTTAACTAAATGAAATGAATTACCTGCAGGAATTTATCATCGAAAGGATTGGCAGGCAGGATAGTTCATTCACTTTACGATCTTAAGTCATTACAGAAGCTGTAAGCATAAGTACAATGTGATTATTTTCCGGGTAGTTTATAAGATATATGGAGAATTGCTAATTTTTGCAATACTTTTATCAAGGGATATGTCCAACAATAGCTTAACCGGATCACAGCCTGATTTACTTTCTCAACTACCACACTTAAGAGTTCTGTAAGTGACTAAGATTTAATGACATAAGTTTGTACTCATTTCAGGCAAAATGGAATTGTTTAATCCTGTATGTACTTGCAGGAACTTGGAAGGAAACAAACTCTCTGGCTTAGTTCCTAAATCTCTGTGGGCAAGGTCACAAAATCAATCACTCAAATTAAGGTTCACATCTTACCTAAACTTAAAAGTTACTTTTAGTTTTGAGGTTAACAAAACCATTTTATTTCTATTTCTCATTTCTCCAACATTAATTTATCCTCTAAGAAAAGCTGATTCAATGATAGTATTGATGGGAATCTGGATCTATGTTTGTTCGCACCATGCAAAAAGGAGAGAAATATTCTAGTGCCACTTGTTGCAGCCATTGTTTCAGCTCTTGTGATCATTTTGATTGCATTTCTTATCCTTTGGATCTATAGAAGAAAAAGAGGTATATATATCGTTGCAGTTCAACAAATATTTCTTGTTGGATGATAAACATTCAATTCAGCTCCAGGATTTTGCTTAGCACAAATGCTAACTCTATGATAAACTTTATGTATAGCTGCTAAGGTGGATGTCAAATCTCTTGCAAAGAGAGAAGGGTCACTGAAATCGAACAGTCGAGGGTTCACATACTCTGAGATTGTGAGCATGACCAATAATTTCGAACGAGTTCTTGGAAAAGGAGGGTTTGGAACTGTTTACCTTGGCTACTTGGTTGATGGAACACAAGTTGCTGTCAAAATGTTCTGTCCATCATCAACTCAAGCATCTATACAATTTCAAACTGAGGTTAGATTCTATCCGGAAACTCAAACAGACTAAATATTAAGTATAATTAATTGGTTATAACATACATTTTGTCTGGAGTATACTTTGAATCTGGTTATAATTAAATGTTATCTTGATCAACAGGCTCAGTTCTTGATTAGAGTTCATCACAGGAACTTAGCTTCTTTTGTCGGATACTGCAATGATAGCAGAAACTTTGCAATCATCTATGAGTACATGGCATATGGGAACTTAGAGGAGTATCTATTAGGTAATAGTCATGTTAATTTCCCTGAAAGGCATTTCTAATTTCACACTTAAATATTCAATATTCGTTTACAAAAAATGGTAAATGAGACTAGTTTGTCACAATTCTTTGCTCCAGATAAACGTAAAGAAGCTTTGAGTTGGAAAGAGAGAGTTGAGATTGCACTTGGTGCCGCACAAGGTAATAATAAGCAGAATAACCTTTTAGTATACATAATTTTCAATTTTCATGTGTTCTAGCCAAGCCAACGAATTCTAAAATTCTCTGTACAGGGCTAGAGTACTTGCACCATGGTTGCAAGCCACCAATAATTCACAGAGATGTGAAGCCTGCAAACATTTTGTTAAATGAGAAAATGGAGGCCAAGATCGGAGATTTTGGTTTCTCCAAGTTTTTTCCAATTGAAAGTGGAAGCCATATATTGACATCAATTGTCGGCACAGTGGGTTATCTTGATCCGGAGTAAGTAATATAAAGCAAAATGTAGCAAAAGTTTAAAGTTTGTTAACAGATACAAACAAATTCTGATAATTTCAAAATCTTGTAAGCCTCCTTACTGCAGTTGTTTGGTTAGTGAACCTACTTTTCTTATCATTTCTCTGGTTTCTGCAGGTATTATGCATGTAACAGGTTGGCCGAGAAAAGTGATGTGTATAGTTTTGGAGTCGTACTCTTGGAACTGATTACTGGTCAGCCTGCTGTGATGAAAGGCAATGTTGAGAACATTCATATAATTCACTGGGTTAGTCCATTTCTTGAAGGAGGTGATGTAAGAAGCATTGTTGATCAGAGGCTAGAAGGAAATTTTGACACAAATTCTGTTTGGAAAGCTGTAGAGACAGCAATGGAATGTTTGCCACCAATTTCCATCCAGAGGCCAAGTATGAGTCATGTGGTAATGCAATTGAAAGAGTGTTTGGAGATGGAAATTGCTCGTGAACAAGCGTCACAAATTGAGAGTCAAATGATGGAATCAAACAATTCAATGGACATGAGTCCTGTTGATCTTGAAACAGAAAAGGGTCCTGAAGCAAGATAGAAAGTAGACTATTGAATCATGGTTTAAGTTTATAATCTTATGCAAAAATGAAACACTGAGATATGAGAATATGTAAACATTTTAGGGATTTGAGAGCCCTGGAATGAGAAATGTAACAGAATATTTTGTTAGCCTTTCACGTTAATTGGCAGTAGAAATGAAAATTCTGAAAACCAAAACTTTTTACCATTCAATCGATGAAAATGACAGCAAAATTTCCAGTTGGGCTGCAATTTGATTTGCAGAGATAAATAGCATAGGACACTTAACTGGAGCTTAAAGAGCTGGTCAAGTCATTTTTTCGGCTCCCCTTTATGTACGTTATAACTAAAAGTTAGTCAACTATTCGGCTAGACCCAGACAAAGGGTCAAGTAGTGACTTTTTCTAGAACTCTATATTTAGCTTGAAAGTTTAGAAATTATGCACAATTTGGTGTTGGAAATGAGGCCAACTGGGCAAGGCAACTTGAAATCAATAATTGGAAATAAAGACATAAAAATACTTGTTGATAAATTAAACCCTTTTATAGTGCTCTAGTTTAAACTCTTTTCACTAATGATGTGTGATGTGACACATCACAAAAGCCTGGACCCTATACGACTTCTAAAACCGAGCACATGCTGAAGAACACTAGCTGTACTCTCTTCCGCAACATCCGCTAGATTAATTGAAGTCCATTGCACGCTTTATGAACCAAACACACAGGTAGGACTTAATATAAATGTCCCACAACAATTTAACTGAATTTCGAACCAAAAGAGATCAGCATGTTTGGTGGTGGTGGGCAGGCGCAATTTTTTGTTCCGAAACTATGTGTGGTCATTTTTCAAGTCATCATTTCTGTCAACAACTCAAAACTAGCGGGGGCAGATAATGAACATTCTGTCATGAAGGTTGCCAGTGACCATTCTGGTTAGTATACATTTTGTCTTATAGAATTCGGTGTATAATGCTTTGTGTTCTGTTTTCAATCCTAAGTCAAATAGCTTTTCAAGACACTTTATAGCTCTCTGTCACTTATGATATCAAAATTTATGGTCAGACATCTTAATTGCCTGATTGACTCCTATTTTTCTGTCAAATATGATTTCTAGGTTTTATAAACATTGATTGCGGAGCGACTGGAGATTACATAGACAATGTAACTGGTCTATATTACGAGTCAGATGCAAAATATATTGATACAGGAGAAATCCATGAGGTATCGGTATCTCCCAACTTCGCCAACCTCACCCTGGCAGTTTACCAACAGCAGGTAAGGCATTTGAGGAGCTTTCCTCAAGGAACGAGGAATTGTTACACACTGAAGCCTAAACAAGGTGCAAACCATAATTATCTAATCAGGGCTGTCTTTGTATATGAGAATTATGATGGCAAAAACCAGTTCCCCTCATTCGAGCTATATCTTGGTGTCAATAAGTGGTTGACTGTGGTCAACAGTGATATATTTGAGATTATTCATGTTCCCTCAGTGGATTACATAGATGTGTGTCTTGTAAAGTCTGGCTATGGAGTACCCTTTATTTCAGTGTTGGATCTAAGGCCTATGGATGACTCCATTTATCGAATTCAAGATGGTGCACTCTCCTACATGGGGAGAAGTGATGTTGGTGGTATTTCTCGTCTTACCAGGTAAATCATTTAAAGCATTCCCAACAATGTTGTTTTATCAAAAAAATTCTTGAACTTACGGATTGATGAAATAACATATTGCATTTCATTATTTTCCTGTGGCAACCATTATTCATCACATTGATTCACATTTGCGGATATCAATGTTTCTCATTTAGGTACCCAGTTGACGTCTATGATCGCTTGTGGACTCCTAATAATTTCAGTGACTCGACTGTCATTTCCACACAGTCAACAATATATACTCAAAGTTTGGATGATGGTTATAAAATACCAGCTGAAGTGCTGAAAACTGCCGCAAAATCACAGAATGCTAGCATTCCCCTGAGTTTATACTTTAACCTTCTAGATTTTTCTTCTCCATGTTATCTTTACTTCCACTTTACAGAGATTGAAAAGCTTAAGGAAGGCCAGAAAAGGGAATTGCGTATTGAGCTAAATGGTGAACGCAATCTTACAGAATCTATTAGTCTTGAATACCTAAAGCCAACGACCATAGCTCAAATATAACCCACCAATCAATGGTAGTCCTCTTCATTTTTCTATTTATGCAGCGGAAGGTTCAGATCTTCCTCCAATCCTTAATGCTGTCGAAGGTTTTGTGTTTGTAGAGTTACCACTTTCACCAACAAACATTAACGATGGTATTTTTCTTCTCTTCTGTTGTTAGAATTAGCCAGATTTTTGTCTTCACTTCTCCTCAAATGGTTAATAACTGAATTCCTGTTTTTCTTTTAAACCAACAGTTAATGCTATCAAGGACCTCAAACAAAAATACGGAGTGACTAGAAACTGGCAAGGCGATCCATGTGTTCCAAGTAGTTTCTCATGGGAAGGTCTGAATTGCACCAATGATGTTTCGCCAAGGATCATCTCATTGTGAGTACCCCTTCAAAGACTAAAAGTTCTCAATCAAATGTAGTATAACTTGACTTAATATTGCAAATATTCGGTGGAATTCTGTGGAAGGTCCTTCAACTTGGGGAAATTGGTTTGCACTTCTTTTTTCCATCAGTTTTCTGACTTAATGGAGATGCATTCTCTTTGATGAACTTCATGCAGGAATTTGAGCTCAAGCAAATTGACAGGGGAGATAGCAACCTCACTGTCCAATCTTGAAGCAATTACGATATTGTAAGCATAATTATATATATAGTGATTGACTCTTAGCATTCAGTTACTGTATTAAAGGCAAAGAAGATTACATTGGAGATTTTTACCAGAAACTGTTGCACTAAGCCCCATCATAAAAATGACTACACATAAAGAGGAACCCAATTTTTTTTTTTTATTACCGGGATTTATCATACAACAACTTGATTGGGCCAATACCAGAATTTTTAGGACAATTGCCAAATCTAAAAGTCTTGTAAGTATTTCAACTTTGAGTTTAAAATCGGAACAACAAATTTTGGAGTAGGAAGTGAAGATGATGTACATGTATTTGAATTGCAGGAACTTAACTGGGAACAAACTCACTGGTTCAGTTCCAGATGCTCTTATGGAAAAGTCCAAGTGTAGAACATTGCTGTTGAGGTAATCAATTTTCTCAGTGATATAATACTTATGGTTCTTTCCTAATTCCTTATTATTATTATTATTTTTTTTTATGATCATTTGTTGTTCTTTTTTTCCTTTTTGTGTCATGCAAGACTTGAAGGAAACCCAGATCTTTGCATGTCAGTTCCATGCCATCAAAACAAAATGAAATTCATTATTCCAGCAATGATAACCACTCTAGTCATCTTGCTCATTCTGCTCCCCGCCAGTGCTCTGGCTGTGTACAGAATTGAAAGAAAAAGAGGTAATATCTTTCTTTCATTCTCCCAGCAATTTACTTTGGAGCTTTTTTTAAAAGATTATTATATTCATTGGTGTTGAAATATATAGGTACTGTATCCAAGAAGGAAGGGTCTCTGAAATCAAAAAATCGAAAATTTACTTTCTCTGAGATTGTTACTATCACTGATAACTTTAAAACCGTTATCGGAGAAAGAGGATTTGGAAAAGTTTACATGGGCACTCTGAAAGATGACACTGAAGTTGATGTTAAGGTTCTCTCGCCGTCATCAAGACAAGGCTATAAGGAATTTCAAGCAGAGGTCAGCCAGAGTTTCAATCAGTTGAAAATTTTCATCAATATTGAATCTATAACAGTAACAATGTGAATGCAGGCACAACTCTTGATGATTGTTCATCATAGGAACTTGGTTTCCCTGATCGGTTACTGTGATGACCGTGACAATAAGGCATTAATTTATGAATACATGGTCATGGAAACTTGAGACAGTATTTATTAGGTATGCAAGATTTTATTTCTTTCTTGAACTTGAAATAATGTTTAAAATGTATTTGATAATGAGATGTAGGAAATCTACGCTGAAAAGCTCTTATGTTTGATTGATTACAGAGATGGACACAAATTTGCTGAGCTGGAGTGATAGACTTCAAATTGCGGTCGATGCAGCCAATGGTTTGGAAGCAGAACTAATTCATAGTTATATATCTCTAATGATTTTGGCCAATTTCACTTTCTTTACAGCTACTTAACTAGTCATGAACTGGCGTTGTAGGGTTGGATTATCTACACAATGGTTGCAAACCACCAACAATCCACAGGGACTTGAAGCCTTCCAACATTTTACTAAATGAAAGCATGCAAGCAAAACTAGCCGATTTCGGACTCTCCAGGTTAATCTATAAAGAAAGTGATTCAGGTCTAGAAAGTTGCCCTGCTGGTACACCTGGATACATAGATCCTGAGTAAGTTCTAAAACTTAACAAAATATTTGTGCAGTTATGTTTATTTAAGTTATTAACATTCTTGGTGAATGTTCATATCACTTCTGTTTTTTGACAGAGTCTATGTAAGTGGGATTATAAACAAGAAAAGCGATGTTTATAGTTTCGGGATTATTCTATTTCAGCTGATCACTGGACAGCCTACAATAAAGAGAAGCCTCAGAGACGACAGATACATACTTCAGCGTGTGATTCCGGTGATTGAAAGAGGGGATATCCGAAACCTTGTCGATCCAAGATTAGAAGGACAATTCAACGATAATGCAGCTTGGAAAATAGCGGAGATTGCCATGTCATGTGTATTACCAAGTGCAGCTCAAAGACCGGACATGAGTCATGTACTGGCAGAACTGAAGGAATGTTTGGCTGCTGAGGCGGATCCTAGAAGACCCTACCGAACAGAAAGCATCAACACAAGTTCAAGTGATTTACTTGAAGAGGTCTGCATTGAGCCTGGAATGGAGATAGTCCCCATCACAAGGTAACTACTGAATATGTTTCTCAGTATGCAGGTAGTAACAGCATAGCATTCCAATATCAGATTCTACATCATTACCGAATGAAAATTTAAGTTACTTTATAAGCTTTGAGTCTGCCGCAACGGCTCAACCAAGTATAATATAGCACTTTTGGTGGCAATTGTATTGTATGTGAGAGTTTGTACAATAAATTTCCTTTTCCTAACTACATTGTTGCGAATTTTTTCCATGTCTGGCAATGAAATTTTGGCTAGTTTTTGTTGTGATTCAAAATTAATATACAATTTCAATAATTTTTAGTTGAATTCTCAGGATAACAATATACCGTATGGATAAAGATTGACCCACAATTTAATCTTACAAACTTTTTCTCACAACCTCGACGTGGCAGTTCGCTATTGGACAAACAGGACTCATAGCGAGCAGACGGAACCCATTTGCGAGATAACTAATTACGAGCTGTCATGTCAAGATTGTGAGAGAAAGTTCGTGAGATTGTGTTGTAAGTATAGTATTACCTATATTGTATACATGCTATGAATTATAGCCCATAGTATGGGATTCCTAATGATATTCTCTATATCCTTAACTTTAAAACAATTTTAATCATACATGTTCTAATCAACCAAATGCCTCATCAAATATTATCATCTAAGAATAAAGGCCAGTCAACTCAGCTTGGATTGTTTGATGCTCAAACTTGAACGAGTTGAATCAATCAAATTATGTGAGTTACATCATTACCGAATGAAAATTTAAGTTACATTATAAGCTTTGAGTCTGCCTCAACCAAGCATAATATAGCATTTCTGGTGGCAATTGTATTGTATGTGAGTTTGTTCAACGGATTTCCTTTTCCTAACTACATTGTTACGAATTTTTTTCCATGTCTGGCAATGAGATTTTGGCTAGTTTTTGTTGTGATTCAAAATTAAATTTTCAAGAATTAGTATGCAATTCAATAATTTTTAGTTGAATTCTCAGGATAAACAGTATACTGTATAGATTCTATGAACGATTGCACATAATAGGGGGTTCCTAACAATATTCTCTGTATCCTTGACTTTAAAACAATTTTCATCATACATATTTTAATCAACCAAATGCCTCATTAAATGCAAGTCAATTCAACTGGACTGTTTGATGCTCAAACTTGAACGAGTTGAGTTAACCCAATTATTCTCCAGGAAAGTTGCCTGCAAGATCACCCCTTATCAGGGGTAGACCCGAAATATTTTCTTGTGGGTTCAATTATAATGTTCAATGAATGAGGCAGCCAGTGTGTTTGAACTTAGGAAGTTGCATTTATGAGGGTTATGGTTCAAGTTCAGAGAATAAAAGCGTCATAATGTAGGAAATTGCTATTTTAATGAGAAAAAAATCAACTAATTACAATTGTACCGCAATTGAAATATCATTCTTTAAAAGGAAAATATCATTCGTTAACTTTCTCATTTAAAGTAAGTCATGGTCAAGCCACTAAATATGAAAGTTATAATTTTTTTTTTTTTTTTGAACGGAGGTATTCGGCTCAATCGAACTCAAGATCTTTTAAGTAATATATCAAAAAATCCTAATTGACTGCTGAACCACTTAGTGGTGTTTATGAAAATCACATTTTGCTTTGTAATTAAATCTCTTCTTACCTCACTCTCTCCTTTTTTACTTGTTTCCCCTAATTGATAACTTTATATAAAGGTTTCTACGAGATTATTATTGTCACCTAATTGATTAACTATATTTAAAGGTTATCTTCTTTATTTTCTATCAAAATTTTCAAGAAAAAGGAAGTTAATCGTGTTTTAAAATGAGTAGGCCATATTCATCCTAGTAAAGTGAAATTAGCTCCTGATACTTTGTATATATCTTGATACACCTAATTTTTGTCACCTAATTTTTTTGTTTTCGATGATCGAGAGTGTTCAGGTCAGTTTGCATACATCTTAACTAATTCTTTGGGACCTTGGAACTACCAACTGGGTAAGAGCTCCAATGACTACCCCTATTAAGGGTCATGAGAACTCGAACTGGAAAGACCATATTAAATCATTTTCTTTTTTACCATCAAGGAAACTCGAACTTGAGAGACCATGTTAGACCCCCCTCTTACTATTTTACCATCAAGGATACTCGAACTTGAGAGATCATGTTAGATCTTTATTTGCTCTTTTATTATCAGGCCACCTAATGGTAGTTAAATATTCTAATTTTTTTTTTTTTTTTTATCTCATTTCACACTAAACCAAAAACTTAACAAAGGTGTTATAAAAAAAAAAAAAAAAAATCACAACTTGCCAATTACTTGATATTAAAGGTCAACAAGATGATCCAATTACTTAATTACTTAATTTAGTTATAACTAGAGGCACATAGTTAATGAATTTGACTAAAGTTCATTATTGATTTTAGTTTTAAGAGTAATTGTACAAATATAAAATTTGTATATAAACTCAATTTGTATTGATTTATTTTACATTAAATCTTGTATTATTCTAGTTTTAAAGCTGATAAAAAAACTTATGGCATGCATAAATGAAATTAATTTATAAGTTATAATGTATTGACTAATGTCAACAAAGATAATACTAAAAAGATGTGTGACACTTGCACATATGGTGGGATTAATTAGTTAATTAATTGGGGAAAGGAGTACCCACACACCCCATAATTCAAAAAGTATGTAACAAAGTTGATGTGAATGGAATAACACTAACAAATAATTGCTATAAATAAAGAATAATACTACACCAATAACCCTCTCTCACAAACATTATCTCACAACTCTGATGTGGTAACTCACAATTGGTCAGTTCACAACGGATTTCACATAGGTTTTACCAATTAATTATAAACTGACCAATTACGAATCATCACGTCAAAAAGTTTGTGAGATAAAGTTATTGGTTAAATATTATTTATAAATAAATTTGTGTAATTATGTGACATAAGCCCAATTCTTCATTAACTTTTGTTATATATGCACTTACTTAAAGTCAAATTAATTAATTCTATTATTCTACTTTTGAGTTTTGACACCTAATTGGTTGATTAATTAAACTCTGGTTCTTTTATTCTCTTTCGGCATACTCAGCAACCAAGTTGCTTCTCTTGCCTCTCCAGCCTTCTTCTGGGCATATTTCGGTAGTCCAACAACCTCTCTTGTCACTCCAGTTCCAGATTCTTAAAGTGTGTAACGCGAAACAAAGTTATTAATTTTGTCTGATTCATCTTCCAGATGCAAGCCTTTTGAATTTACGATTTATGTTTTGCAGATACATTTTCAAAGAGATTGGAGCAGTTGTATAAAGTGAAGATCAGAGGAGTTGAAGATTTAACGCCCTTGAAATGTCATTATTTTGTTGAAATTTTGATATAAAGAAAGCAATATACTGGTTAATTAACGGCGGTGCGGTGATATTGGAGGTATGGAGTCGTGTGATATAAACAAGAATTTCTCAATTTGACTTGAGAATGGTTTTCCCTGGTTGCAGTTTCTAATCGGCTTTAGTGTTTGATTTTATTTCTTTTCTTCGTATTTCGGTTTTCCAAACTAAGTTCAACTGAGCTCTGAATTGAGATTTTCAGGTACGCCGGCCATGCTTGCCATAAATTTCAGTCGCTGGATCAATTCGACCTGTTTTGACGAAATACTTTCTTGATTCGATATGATTCTTCTGACTTGGTCTCTCTTTCTGGGATGGATTTTTCCGATTTTACGGTGAATTTTCTTCAGTCTCCTCTTGGACTTTCACTCGATGGCTGCTGTACAGTCTTTTCTCCAGCTACGCCTCGTCTGTTCACCAAGATAACTGAGGCAAAAGAACATCTTGAAACCGTTTCTTCATCTAAAATCTTAGATAATTCAACCAAATGTTTCTGCTTTCTGATGCCCCTCTTCGTCGCATCATCCGGCCTATCTTTCTCGTAGTTTTTTTTTTTTCTCACTCAAAAAGTTTCTGCTTTCTGATGCCCCTCTTCTACAACCTTCACTTATTTTCGGATTTTCTTTTTATTGTGTTTATTATAAGGTTACTCACTTTCTATTTGAAATTTGGGGGAACTTCTGAGCCGTCAGATACTATCTTTGACAACTATCAAATGTTTTTATCTTTTTATAATTTAAATTTTAATCCCAATTGTCTTCTTCTGTTCTTAGTTTCCACCCTAATGTCCTAGTTAACCTTTGATTATAGAAACTAATCGTAGTTTAATTTTAATTAATGTTTTTCGGAATGGGACAGGTCTACGGAAGGAGATGGAAAAGAGTCCTTTGAGAAGTAGTAATAACGGTAGCAGTAGCGGTATCACCAGTGACGACAGAGATAGAAGCGGAGGGGACGGGGGGTTATTAAGAGCGAGCTGAGAGATTAACATAAGGCAAACGACATCGACTGATTTTGTCTTGCAATGGGGTAACTGGAAGTGGCTCTGATGCATGACAGTACAGGTCAAGGACGACTCGGCCACCCCGGCCCATCGGACAACTGTTCGGGTCATCAGAACCGACAAGGACACTTTAAATCAACCGAGCACTGCTACTGCTAATAATAATGGTAGTAATAATGACGGTAATGGTTACTTTAATCTCCGTCAACGGCCCTCTTTGCCTCCACCTCCGCGTCTCAGCGTATTCTCAGGTACTAATATATTAGTTGGATAAGTTTCTCTTTTTTGTTAATTTCTTTACACAGAAATGGATGTATACGTGATTTGTTCGACGCGTCTTAAGTACTGCCCGATGAGATGGTGGATCTTGGGTGTTTCGGTTCAGTCTGGTTTTTTTTTTTTTCCACCCCTACGTGGTGTCTGGTTAGGTAGACGTTGGATCGTTAAAAACGTACTTCTTATACAAGACATTACTTGCTAGGAATTGATGATTTTGGTGGGTGATAATTCTGTTCTGTAGACGTTACAAGAAAACTCGCTGGGCTACAATGTTCATGGGCATGGGCTTCTCTTACCAAGAAAACTCCTTGCCATTGGACCTACAAACACTTTTAAAGCCCAAATTGGACCTAAACCAAACATCCAAACATGGACATCCCAATCCCAGTAAACTTCTACACTAGTTTTGGTTATTCTAACGGACTCATTGCCTCTGAACTACCATTGAAGGTGTTTGATATGAATAGCTAGCTTCCCCTCCACTCTTATCTGCAATTCTGGATCAAACCCACCAAATAGATGACCTACCCAAATAAGTGACCTACGCCTACACCTAATGAAATTTAACCAACTCAATACTTCCTCTCATTACTTAGCTATTCACCCCCCAAATAGATGAATTTTTTCATGTCTTCAACTGATTACATGAAAAATAAGAACCAAATGGCGCTATCAGTGGCTACTCTAGCTCATTACAACTACACAATCTCATATTTCTTCATTTCAAAAAAATAAAAACATAACTATAAGTTGGAGACTTGGAGTGGAGTCATTTCTCACCTCTTTTGCACAACCCATGGACTGAAGGACCAGAAATTGAAGAAGTGGTTTTCACCGTTCATGACTAAATTCAATCGGCGTCGGGGTGAAAGTATGTGGCGTGAAGCACTCGTGAACGTCGTCAATTGATCAGCATTGGCGTCTGCAGCGTCTCCGATGGCAAGATGAATAGAAAAAAGTGGCGAGATTTCACGGCTGAGGGATTTGCAGTTTTGGGTGTTTAGGGTTAGTGTTTGTCGACACACCGGAAAAATGATTTGGGGGTTTAGGGTCTTGTTTTACAACTAATGACGTTGGGGGTTAAATGTTGTTTTTTACAAATTTTAAAAATTGATTAGTACACTTTAGTCTCCCACATTTTATAAAACTCACAAAAGTAACCCTACTTAATGCTTATGCGAGCCACCTCAAGCTCGCGAGCCTGTCGAGCCAAGCCTCCTCCTGATTGAACTTGACTCATTTTATATGACGAGCTCAATCCGAGTCATAAACGAGCTTCAAATGAGTCGAGTCAAGCCGACTCACGAGCTACTTAGCTCGTCTGACAACCCTATTTATAGATACTTTATTACAATATTACTATTATTTTGTAATAAAATGTATTAAAATAATCAAGTTTTCGTTGGTTAATTAAAATTTTGAAGTTGGTAATTTTGATGTGATTTTAAAGTCCGTATAAAAATCTTAGGTGAATAATTTTGAAGTTAATAAGTTAAGGGTGAATATTAAGCAGGAGGGTTTGGAAATATTTTTAAAATTTTTTAAAATTGTTATATATTATTATTTTAATTTTATAAAAAAAATATTTGTTAATCATAATAAATAGTTTGAATTCTCTAATTTCCTATACTTTTTTTTTTTTGTGTAAAATTCAATTTACTCTTTTCCTTTATTTTTAAATTAAAAATAATTTATTATTTCTTTGTTGATGCAATTTTCTTATATTAACAAAATGAATATTTTTTTAATGCATATTAAAAAAAAATCGACCCCAAAAATATTTTTTGTTTCATGATATTGTAATAGGATGATACTAGAAGCACAGGATGACGTGATAATATGTAGACACTCAGGACAAATGGACAATGCTTTCAAAGAGCATGCTTGGTCCTTGTCCACCTAAAATCTATCGAACAAAGGTTCGGCTGGATGAGCCCCACGTGTCGCCTTACAATGAAGTCTCATTTTTGGATGCGCATTGTTGAGGGAACTCCTACTTCAAACTCCAGCACTCATGTGCTGTCACGTCGTTTAGAATCTCCTAGATATCTGGAATGTCGGGTTCACGTAGAATATACGACCACCAAACGGCGTCAGTCAGTGTCAAGTCTTATTGAGGTAAGGGAAATGAGGGTCGTCAAGATTAACGTCCATTGGCCTCGAGCCGCGGGACGAGAAATTTGTCGTATATCTGTTAAGTAACAGCTTCAATCATCACAAACACCTTCATCATCGTTGGATTGGATGGGCAAACAGCATACTACTCATATTATTTCACAATTTTGCCCTCACGATTTTTACACATTTTCAGGAGCGTGCCATAGATTAAAAAGGTTTTAATGGCATCAACATATAACTTAATTGTATTTAATTTCAAGTTATAGAACTTTTTAGTTTTTATAAAGAAACAATAAGGCCCTGTTTGATTCGCTTTTGGGAATACTATTATTAGTATTCCAAAAAAAGTTAAACAGTAAAATTGCAAAAACTCACAATATTATTCAACTTTTTTTAAACCCCTTAAATTTGTTAATTTAATTAAATAACCCTAAATATTTTTTTAGAAATTGTAAAAACAACCAAGAAACCCACATTTACCAGATTCCAGCCACCATTGCCGGAAGATGGCTGGACTCTGGTATAACGACGAACAATTGACTGAATCTGGCTGATAGTGTGCCGATCCAGCCTTTCCTGGCCAGATCCACGGTGGATCTGGTTGGAAAATGCCAGATCTAAGACCGAAGATTTGGCCATCAATGGTCAGATCTTTGGCCGTAGCCAGTTGACCATCAACGACTACCATATCTTTGGCCGTCGTTGACAAACAAATGCGGCCAGATCTGGCCGTCAATGGCCAGATCTAGCAGTAGATCTGGCCTTTGCTGGCCAGATCCACCGTCGATCTAACCAGAAAAGGCCATATCGGAGCACGACCGGCAAGATCCAACCGATCATGCGTCGATACGGCGACTCCGGCAGCCCTCCGACGGTAGTGGCTCGCTGTCCATATTTAATGGGTGGATTGGGGATATTTTTGTTAACTTTTAATGTTTTATTATAGAGGTGTTTAGTAAATAAACAAACATATGGGGTATTTTTATTAATTTCCAAATCTTACATCGTAATACCCGCTCAATTCAACTTCTTTTAACTTTTTTCAAAAAACTTTTCTAAAAAGTGTAACAAAGTGAACCAAACGGAGATGAATTCATATTACACACATTATTTGAAAATTAGAATTTAATAATATTTAAAATGTGTAATATTACTTTATATTATTACTTTTACGATAATATACTCCAATACTTATTATTATTTAACTATTTGAACATTAATCTTCTAATATTCTTTTTAACTTGATCATCTTATAATAATTTAATTAGACATATGTTTTGTACTTGTTATGATAATACCTTATTTTAATAGATTAATTATTGTGATTAGACTAATGAACAATGTCAATCACATTAATAATCATAAGGTAGCTTGATGGTAAAAGAGTAAAATGAGATTTTATGAGTTTTTGAGTTTGAATTCTCACATGAACTAATAAGGGTGGTTGCTAAGGAGCTTACTTGATCATCAACTTCAAGACTCCGATGAATTAATTAAAGTGCGTGCAAGCATCATAATATCGTTGACTCATATTTAAACAAGGAAGAATAAAGCCTGTAAGATTGTTATGAGAAAGATCCATTAAGACATAATTGGTCTAACTCGCACAATTGCAGAGGCAGTTCATTTTCCAAATTATTATTAGCCAAGAGGAGGTAACGTAATAGAAAAAGCCTGCCAATCCAGTTTGGAAGGTTACCGGTGAAGAAATTATAGCTAAGATCTAATGTCTCCAAAGAAAGGCTATAATAGAATGTATCTCCTTGTAGCTTACTTCTTGACAAGTGAACTTGTTTGATTTTTTAAGGTTGTAAACAAGATGGTAAATACCAGACCTGGCAAAACGGGTCTGGACCCGCGGGTTGGCTCGTACCGGGGTAAAAAATATAGGGTACGGGTCTAATTTATTAAACCCATTTTTTGAGACTCGTACTCGTACCTGTACCAGACCCAATTACACATGGTTTATACGGGTGAACCCACGGGCACCTGTATTTGCACTAATGAATTTGAATCCCTAACCCTTTTGCATCTCATCTCTTAGACTCATAGTAACTCAAATCTCTCCTGCGGTCCTGCCTCTCAATCTCTCATCAGTCTTCTTCGTGCCTGAAGTTCAACTCCTTGTCTCGGTGTCTCCCTATTTGAATAATCGTCAGTTCAAGGTTCTGCCTCCCAATCTACCTCGATTAATTGAATAAGTCGAGACTCAGCAAGTGAGGAAGTTTCTAAAGCTGAGGCCGCGAGATCTCTAGAGCGTTTCCACGAGGGTTTTGAGGCTACTGAGATGTTGAGAAAGAGTTGAAAGGTTTGGGTCTTTGGAAAGGATGGTGTTGGACTCGGTCTGGAGCTCGAGGAGAGCTTTAATGGCAAAAGAATTGAAGTCGTTTAAACTAGAAGAGGGGTGGGCTTGGAGGTCGTGAGAGGCTTGTTTGAGAGCTTCTAGGACGTTGAGAACTGTAGGGGGTTCTGGGTCTGCCATGGAAGATAAAGAAGAAGAGGGGAAGTTTTGGAGAGTTAAAGAGTTTGGATTTGATTTTAACTAGTGAGAAAAGAAGAGGCAACGACTGGTCAGTGAGTCGTCGTCGTCTTTGTTTTTGTCTGTAATTTGTATCCAACCACCAACTTCCACCTTCCTCTTCTACATGTTAATCTTTATTCTTTAATTATATATACAAGTACAATTCCATTTGGTATCATGATATTCCTTGAATAGGTTCTGCCTCCCAATCTACATCGACAAATGGGAGCATTGATAAAAATCTCAATTCAAGGTCAAGTTCAGATGTTCCAACACCACCTATAAACACTGTTGTGGGAGGAAAAGCTTCTCTTCAGCCAAAACGTACACCCGTCTCTGAGAAGGAGATAGAGGCCATTCTGGTGAGAAAAATATCCTTTACCATATACAATAGTGGAACTAACTGTACCATTAAAGGTTAAGATTTTTGACAAGGAGTTATGTCGAGTCATGCTTCGAAACAATCTACATTCTCTAAGCTTCTACTTGGATCTACCTAGTTGAACTATAAACAATACAATTTTACAATGTTCACTACTTTACTAGGAACAATGAGATCTCACCAATGAGCTTTTCAGGGTCAAGGGGGGAAGCACCAGACGGGGTTCGATATTGTTTCTGTGCATAGTAGTTTAGACTTTAGATTCATTGTAGTGTCAATTTGAAAACTTCAAGGCGATTACGAAATATTATGCAAGGGGTGACTCATAGAATAGAGTAAAAAAATAAAAATTGGTTTGGTATTTTAAGCCAGTAAATTTTCTGTATGCTGATTTTAGCTTCTTGTTTCTCATGCAGTTGGGAGGTTGCTTCTGATCTTAGGATTGGTATGCTGTATTGAGGAAATGCAATCTGCAATAAAAAACTTCTAAGGGAATCTTTATGATTTTCATATTTGCATGTGAAGAAGTTGTAATCTCTTTTATTCCTTTAATCATCAATTTTCCTGATTTGAGTAGTTGATTTAGGGGGTGTAAATGTAAAAAATTAAAACTGCAGGAATTTTGGGGGTGTAACTGTCATAATTGAAAACTAAAATCTAGAGAGAGAAAAAACTAAAATCTGGAGAGAGAAAAAACGAGTCCACCCGCGGGTCCACCCATACCCGTATAGGGTAGGGCACGGGTCCAATATTTTGGACCTGTATATCTCGGCCCATATAAGGACCTGTACCCGTTTGACCCGGACTGTACCCGACCCGCCCACTCGTTTTGCCAGGTCTAGTAAATACCCAGAGATTATATATTTGGTTACTCTCACCATAGAACTTGTTGAGTTTCGAATGGTTGAAAAAAGGTCCAAGTGAAATTGGGATTATGAAGTAATTGTTGGAAAGTCGAAGGGGTGATGAGGAGATGCTTTCACTAATTTGATTGGAGGAGATATCTTATAGTCCAAGAGAAGTCAAATTCGCCAACCACCAAGTTAAGGTGCCCCTAAGGTTCATATACAGCTTGCACGTTCAGTCATCAACTTTAGAGATGAAAAGACGCGTAATTCAAAGAAAGAAGGGTTGGAATTGTGGTTTGTTGCCCAAACGACGCCGTATTAATATAACCCTCGGAATTTTGCACGTGAAATAGGGTATTGATGATTGACTTAATGCAATGAATAATAATATAATATCTTTCTTGGGGGTTAGTTTAAGATGTCGACATAAAGCTTCGTGTCGCATTGATTTTTCTGGCTGCATATAAATTTTTCATCATTTGACAAAGTTAATTGCCATCTCTTTTGGAAAATACGAAATGCTTGATAGGCAGGTTGTGTTTTTGGCTGTAAAGCTGTGTCTGGTCTCAGTTTCAGTGGTCTGCAACTCAAAGCTAGGTGAGGCATATGATGAACACGCTGCAACGAAGCTCTCCGATGACGTCTCTGCTGGTGATTTAACAACTTCCACTTTATATTTGAAGTTAAAAAAATTGGTTATTATGCTCATCTTTATTTCATAGTTTGATGAAATTAAAAGGGTTCCTAGCTAGCTATAGAAGCTTGTAAAACCTCCTCTTTGAAGCTTTTAAAGTTTGATTCCTTATGATATTACGCCTTGAATTCCATCTTAATGAAACAAAACTACTTCCTGAACGATTTTATATTACAAAAAGAAGTGTTTTCATCTTAAGTGGATTTTTATATTAGAATCCCCGAAGAAAAAAATAGTTTTCCTCTCCCTTTTCAGTATATCACATTTATGTGTGTTTTGTGGACCTTAAATTCATCTCTATTCTCTTAGAGGTTTCAGTCTAACTCAATTTTCTTTCTGTCAAATGTGACGTCCAGGTTTCACAAGCATTGACTGCGGGGCTAGTGGAGATTACAAGGACAATGAAACTGGTCTATTTTATGAGTCAGACATGAAATATATAGACACAGGAGAAATTCACCAGCCATCTCCTAACCTCACCGAAGGGCTTTATAAACAGCAGGTGAAGAATTTGAGGAGCTTTCCTCACGGAACAAGGAATTGTTACACCCTGATACCCAAACAAGGTGCAAATAATAATTATCTCATCAGAACAGCCTTTATGTATGGGAACTATGACAACAAGAATCAGTTCCCAATATTTGACCTGTACCTAGGTGTTAATAAATGGGTGACTCACAATGCTTCAACTGCTTCAAGTTACTATTATGAAATTATTCATGTTCCCATGGTGGATTACATAGATGTGTGTCTGGTAAACACTGGCAACGGAATACCCTTCATTTCTGCGTTAGAGTTACGGCCGTTGGACGACACCGAAATATATCAAATGCGAAAAAACGAGGCAAAGAGAACCGTTAGGAGATATGACGTTGGTGGCCAACATAATCAACAGGGTACTGGCAGTATCAGGTAACTGAGATCTGTGCCAACCGAAAAGGGGTTCTTAACAAAATACTTATCGACATTGTTATATTTATCAAAAGAATCTTTTCTGGATAAAAGTTTTGGGTCCAAGCGTACTATACTGGATTTCATAAATTTTCTAGCCGCAACTATATTTCAATTATCGGTGACCTTTTTCATATCATAGATTCATTTTTATGACCTCTAATATTTATTCTTTGTGTACGAACTAGTATTATTTGAGCCAACTGTTCCACTAATTATGGAATGTATTGTCTCATTATGCACTTTTATACATCTCATATATATTTAGGTACCCTGGTGATTCCTATGATCGCATTTGGATTGATCTCAACTTCGATGACTGGAATCGCATTTCCACAGACTCAACCATATACGCTCCAAACATCGATGATGGTAATTATAAAGTGCCAGATGAAGTGCTGAAGACTGCTGCAACATCCCAGGATGCTATGAGTCCTTTGAGTTTGTTTTTCAACCCTCAGATTCTACTTCTCAATGCTATGTTTACTTCCACTTTACAGAAATTCAGAATCTTTACCAGAAGAGGGTGTTGATTATTCAGCTGAACGGAAGAAATCTTACAGAAGTAACACTTGACTACCTAAAACCAACAACAATAACCCCAAATGATCTTACAATTACTGGTACCGGACTTCACATTTTTATCTATGCAGTAGAAGGTTCCCACTTTGTTTCCGACTTTCCTCCGATGCTTAATGCTGTCGAAGTATTTCTGTCTTTAGAGCTTCCACTTTCACCGACATACCCTAATGATGGTATTTTTCTACTTTTTTTTGTTGTTTCTAGAGTTAGAAATAGCTGTATTTACATCTATCTGGTATTGCATAAGCCTTCCTCAAATTTATGACACATAGTCCTCGTTGTAAATAAGATGCATGAACCATGTCAGCCTGCTAATTACTCAAATCATGATAGCAATAAGTTTTTATATGTCCAATAAAAATGAACTGACTCTTTGCTTGTCTCGGGAAACAACAGTTAACGCTATGAGGGATATAAAGACAACTTACAAAGTGATTAGAAACTGGCAAGGCGATCCATGTCTCCCTAGTAGTTTCTCATGGAATGGTCTGAGTTGCAACAATGACACAAATCCAAGGATCATATCACTGTGAGTTCCCTTCTAAATTAAGCAGCCTGAGGTTCTTTTATAAAATCCACCGGAAACTTGAACAGGCACTAAATGTCTTTCAGGCTATTTAGAAGAGAAAGTCCTTCCTAAAGGAATGGAATATGTATAAACAAAATATCAGATTATGATGTTTGACTGGATTAATTCTCAGTTGTATGGAATTGAGGAACATATTCGGAACTAATTGAATATGTTCCTCAATTCCATACAATTGAAAATTACATCAGTCAAAGTTCAAAATCTATTTGGATTCAGATTAACCTGTTATTGGTTTGAATTGCTCATATTCTTTTCTTTTCCTTTGTGAATTAGGAGATAATGGTAATTAGGTTTTTGTTCTATGAATTTGAAGCAGGAATTTGAGCTCAAGCAATTTGAGTGTGATAGCTCAGTCATTGTCGAATCTTGAAGCAATAGAAGTTCTGTGAGTATAAAACTATGTTATGTGCTTTGATAGCATTTATAGCTATAGAAAAATAACCCTTTTACATTTTAATTAGTAAAAGTATAGAGGAGACGCTACTTGGACACTTGATTTTCTACTCACTCACACTAGATACGATTTTAATTCTGTGCTAATAGATAAAGAAAAATGGTATTAAAATGTACACTAATGAAGCGTTTTACTGCTTTTATCCGGAGTCTAATATTAGAACTTGGGATTTTATTTTTTGAATTGTTATGCTGGGGCCATAAAAGTGGGAATATGTACAATATTAACAGGAACCACTATACATATTATATGGGTTATACTATTCCAGGCCCTCTAATAAGGTTCCATCTCCTTTTGCTACAGGGATTTATCGTATAATAACTTGACTGGGTCAATCCCAGAATTTTTAGCACAACTGCCCAATCTGAAAGTCCTGTAAGCAGTTGACTTTCAAGTTTATATTACAATTATAAGTTTTTAGATTTGAAGTGCTGGTGATCTATTTTTTGAATTCTAGGAACTTAACTGGAAACAGTTTCACTGGTTCAGTTCCTAGTGCTCTTCTGGAAAAGGTCAAAGATAAAACCTTGCTGTTTAGGTATTCTACTCATATTAATGCCTATGCTTCAGTTTCTCAACTTGATTATAGTTCATTTCAGGTTTAGTTTTTTTTTTTTTTTTTTTAACCCTCCTATTAACAGCTTTCTTAATGTACAAAATTACTGGCAAGAATTCTGTTCCTCAGCTTTTTGTATCTGATTTGCTACTTTTCTCTCTGTATACATTATCATGTAAATTTACCCTCCTCAAGTCTGGAAGGACTGGAAGCTCCAACCCATGGAAAGCGAAAGAAGAATAAATTTCCAGTTCTGCTAACCATTCTTGGTGGCATTATTGTTGTGCTCATCATTCTGTCGCTCGCATATTGTATACTGAATAGAAGAGGTAATACTTTTTTTTTCTTCCTTCATTGCAAATTTATAGCTCTATCATAACTAGTCTAATGAATTTCCAAGAAGATCAAAACTCACTGGGAACTTTGCAACTTAATTTAAGATTTCAAAATTTAACCATTGGAAACTGAATCAATTAAATAATTACCATACTTTCACAAACTGAATTAATTCGATTAGAAAGTCATTAAGCTGATAGTAGGTGACAAATCTGAATTGTGAAAGATAAACAAAAGATTAATACATAGTCTTTAATTAAACGAGTAATTTTATTGAGAAATTATCATTGTTGAATGTCAACCCTGCTTAAATAGGTTATCAATCCTATTAAACAAGAGAACAATTAAAATGATAAACTTTTTGTACATTTAATAAACATAAGGGGTATTATAACTCAGAGGATACTTGTTTTCCTGAAACATTGATATTTAGAGGATACAAGTTTCACAAACTACAGTTAAGAGACAACATTGAAAAATGTTAAAATTAACTGAAAAAAAAAAAAAAAAAAAAAAAAAAAAAAAAAAAAAAAAAAAACAACAACAACACTTTAAGGTGAAAGATGTTAGACTTAACTGAAAAAAGGGTACAAAATTAAAACTTGAAATTGATATTGTGGAACAGAAACGAGACAATTCTATAAGTGAAGAATGGAACTATTCTTGGAATCCATTCAACATTATGATCTTTTTTCTGCGAAATATTGTTGAAGAAAACTGACCATATTTATTCATTTGGTGACAGGAAATAGATACTGGAAGAATGTGTCAATCAAATCTCAGGGCGTAGCATATACTTACTCTGAGATTCTCACTATTACTAAAAAATTAAAAACAGTCATCGGAGAAGGAGGATTTGGAAAAGTTTACCTCGGCAAGCTGAATTATAACACTAAAGTAGCTGTTAAGGTGCTTTCTGGTACATCAAATCAAGGCTATAATGAGTTTCGAGCTGAGGTAAGATACATCAATGCAGCCAGCCAGAGATTTAAATCACTAGAATTTATGTTCGATGTTGAAGCTGTAAATACTTTGGTAAGGCAGACAGTTTCAATTTGATTGCAGGCAGAACGTTTAACGAGGGTCCATAGCAGGCACTTGGTTTATCTCATTGGGTACTGCGATGAGGATGAACATAAGGCCCTGATATATGAATTCATGGAAAATGGAAACTTGAGAGATCATTTAAGAGGTATGCAAGATATTGAGATCATCCAGGATTTCCTGGTTTGTGTTTTTCTGCTCTCTAACTCGCGACGCAACTCCCGAGTTCATTTGCGTCAACAAGTCTGACTAAAAAGAGAAGATGCTGTGCTTTGATTGCAGGGTACCGAGATGCAAAATTTCTGAGCTGGAAAGACAGAATTAATATTGCCATAGATGCAGCCAAGGGTTTGCATGCATATCTAAATACATAATTGTTTTTCTTTATTTTCTTTCGTTGTTCTTTCACATCTTTACAGTAAGTTAACTGTTGTCTTATTGGAGTTGCAGGATTAGAGTATCTGCACATTGTTTGCATGCCACCTGTACTCCACAGAGATTTGAAGACTTCCAACATCTTACTTGACAAAGAGATGCGAGCGAAACTAGCTGATTTTGGGCTCTCTAGGGTCGTCACAGAAAGTGGTCCTAATTCAACAAACCCTGCTGGAACACCTGGATACATGGATCCTACGTAAGTATTAAAACATGATGAATTCATGTACAGTTATGTGATTGAAGTTATCGAGTAGGTTTTATGAAATTGTGTTGATATTGGATTAAAAAATCCTAATTCAAATGTTGTCAAAGTTAAGAATAAGAAGTGCTGCAATCTAATCGTTTTGCTGGATGTCTTTGAACTAATGAATCAAATTTCACATGCAGGCTATGGAATTCTGGTATCTTAAGTAGGAAAGCTGACATTTATAGCTTCGGGATAATTCTGTTTGAGCTGATCACCGGCAAGCCAGTAATAAATGAAAGAGGCCAAGAAAGTCCAGTACATATTCTTCATTTGGTTGGTCCTCTAATTGAAACAAGGGATACCCAATGCATGGTTGATCCCGGGTTTAATGGACAATTCAATGCCAATGCTGTTTGGAAAATGGTGAATATTTCCAATTTATGCACACAACGAGATGGAGATGCAAGACCAGGCATAAGTTATATACTGGCAGAATTGAAGGAATGTTTGGATATAGAGATGAATCCTGGAACAACCTGCATGACAGACAGCTTCATGTCGGCTTCATCCAATCTGCCGGAAGGGCCTTCTTCCGATCACGGTTTAGAGTTGGCTCTCATTCCTTGGTAAGTACTGAACTCTCACCAACCAAAAAGAAAATTATACCTAGTATTCTCCTCTCACAAGATTCATAGCCATATTTATTGAGTCGGCACTCACATATTTTCTCCACCATTTTGCAGAGTAAGCTTTTTGATATAAGAGATATGGGCTCCTGATAATCGATGGAGTAGTTTGAGGATTTCCGGACTCTGTCATTTCGTACAAGACCTGTTTCATTATATCTTTTATTGTATATTGGAGTTGAGGATTGAGTTTGAGGTGTGATTAATTTCGGGAATTGACCATATCTTGTTAAGCATATTTTGATTGGTTGGTTTTGAACTTATTGTTCTGTGTCATGAACTACTACAATTTGGCATGACGACCCTCTGAAAGTTTCTCTAAGGATTGAAACTCCCAATAGGGTTAGCCTCGGGAATAAAGATCCCAATTGACTAGTTGTATTAGGTTTCTCTTATAAAGATATTATTCTCTCGTATGAATGTGATGACAAATCATAGTATATAAGAGAGATGAGAAAATATTTCAATAATTTTGACTCTGCTGAACGTAATCCGAATTTGGGTGAATTGGGATAAATCCCGCATGTTTTTTTTTCTTTACTAATTCGATATTTGTGTGTGGTTATTTGTTTCTTGNGCTGTCGGAGCAAATCATTACAGATACTGCTGGTGTTAGATGACGACGACTCTGAGAAGAACGAAAACCCACCAGAAAATGAAGAAAATCACAGTCAAGAGGGAAACGACTTAGCTCTGTCCATGAACTCCATCGTGGGTTTAACGTCAGACAAGACTTTGAAGGTAAAGGGTCAGATTAGGGGTTCAGAGGTGGTGGTGTTGGTTGACAGCGGGGCGTTACACAACTTTATTTCTCTGGAGCTGGTTGAAAGGCTTGGGATTGCAGTTGAAAAAGGGAAAATGTTTGGGGTAATGGTGGGAAATGGCGTAACTGTGAAAGGAGAAGGGGTATGTCAGCATATTACTCTGGATGTGCAAGGGATTCAGATTAAGCAGGATTTCTTTCCCTTTGAACTCGGAGGAGCTGACATCGTTATCACATGGTTGAGCTCATTAGGAGACGTCTGGGCTAACTGGAAGAAGTTGACGATGAGTTTTGAGGTGGATGGGATCAGATTTAGTTTACAAGGGGACCCATCCTTGGTGAAGGCAGCTGTCTCCCTGAAGTCCATGTTTCGGACCATCAACCACAATGGGGGAGGAATTCTGGGGGAATGCTACTCATTGGGGAGAGTTGTCACGACCACAGAGGAAGAAGTCAGTCCAAGAGTTCAGGCAGTTGTAGATCAATTTAGACACCTTTTTTACCAACCCACCAAACTTCCTCCACACCGCACCATGACCACGCCATAAACCTTAAAGAAGGAGCACCAATCCCTAACATCCGCCCTTATCGGTATCCTTATTTTCAAAAAAATGAGATTGAGAAGTTGGTGGAAGAAATGTTAGCTGCCCGAATCATTCAACCCAGCACCAGTCCGTTCGCCAGCCTGGTATTGCTAGTTAAGAAAAAAGATAGAAGTTGGAGGTTTTGCGTTGACTATAGGGCTCTTAACGACATAACAATTCCGGACAAATTCCTAATTCCCACCATTGAAGAGCTGCTGGATGAATTAGCATGGGCAACTATTTTCTCTAAACTCGATCTTCGATCCGGATACCACCAGATTAGAATCAGGGACACAGATATTCCCAAGATAGCCTTTCGAACACATGACGGGCACTACGAGTTTCTGGTTATGCCGTTCGGCTTGACTAATGCTCCCTCGACATTTCAGTCTCTGATGAATAGCATATTTAAACCAGTTTTGCGTAAGTTTGTGCTTGTTTTTTTTGATGATATTCTGATTTACAGCCCCGACTTGGAATCCCACATCAAGCACCTACGGCACACTCTTAGGATTCTGGATGAAAACAAATTGGTTGGAAATTTAAAAAAAATGTTTGTTTGGGTAGCAGAAGATGGAATATCTGGGGCACCTAATTTCAGCCAATGGGGTCGAGGCAGATCCGCAGAAAATTGCCACTATGGTTTCTTGGCCCACACCCACCAATGTGAAGAGTCTTCGTGGTTTTTTGGGATTAACAGGTTATTATCGCAGGTTTGTAAAGGGATACGGTACCATCGCCCAGACACTCACAAAACTACTGAAGAAAAATTCCTTCAGTTGGGACCAAGAAGCACAACAGGCCTTTCAGGCCTTAAAAGATGCCATGACTTCAGTACTTGTTTTGGCAGCCCCGGATTTCAACTCTCCATTCAAGATTCACACAGACGCCTCGGGCTACGGAATGGGGGCTGTCTTAGTTCAGAACAAACGGCCCATAGCTTACCTAAGTAAAGCCTTCTCCCCTCAAGCTAAACAGAAATCAGTTTATGAACGAGAGTTAATGGCCGTCGTGTTTGCGGTACACAAATGGAGTCCATACCTATTGGGCAGGAAGTTTATCATACGCACAGACCAGCGCAGCCTCCAATTCCTCAAGAACCAGCGGATTAAAACCCCAGAACAGCAAAAATGGGTATCCAAGTTAATGGGGTTTTCGTTCGATATTCACTACTAGCCAGGAACCACTAATAAGGTTGCCGATGCTTTATCCCGACGAGAAGAAGAACCAGAATTATCATCCTTGTCAGTGAGTCAGTTTACAGAATTTGAAGAATTGGCAAATGAAGCTCATCAAGACCCAAAGCTTAGACAGATGATTCAGGATTTGGTTGTAGCACCCAATAGCCGACCAAACTACAGACTTCGCCATGGATGTTTATTGTATAAGGACAGACTGGTTCTGCCAAAAAACTCTTGGTTCATCCATAAATTGCTCGCTGAATTTCACTCCAGCCCAACTGGTGGTCATTCCGGCTTCTTCCAAACATATAAAAGGGTAGCCAATATCGCTTATTGGGTAGGCATGAAGACGGATATCCAGAACTATATTAAAATCTGCACTATATGTCAAGTCAATAAACACACAGCCTTGAAACCAACCGGATTACTTCAGCCTCTTCCGATACCCATGCAAGCATTTAATGACTTGACAATGGACTTCATTGGAGGACTCCCACGGGCCAAGGGGTTCGATACCATTCTGGTTGTAGTTGACCGCTTGACCAAATATGGCCATTTTTTGCTCTTATCGCACCCGTATACCGCTAAGGAGGTGGCCCTAATATTCATGAAAGAAATAGTAAAGCTTCACAGTTTCCCTCAAACCATCATTACCGACAGAGACAGACTTTTCATGAGTCAATTTTGGCAAGAGATTTTCAGGGTATCCGGGACAGCTTTGAAGTTTAGCTCAGCTTATCACCCTCAAATGGATGGTCAATCCGAAGTGGTCAACAGGTGTGTGGAGGCATATCTTCGTTGTTTTTGTAGCTCACAGCCTCGTCAATGGCCGAATTGGTTGCCATGGGCTGAATTTTGGTACAATACGACATATCATCGCTCTACCAAGATGACACCGTTCAAAGCCTTGTACGGCCGTGACCCCCCGGTTCTCCTGAAGTTCACAGACTACCCTTCCCAGGTTGCTGAAGTAAACCAACAGATCAGTGAGCGAAATGCCATCATTCAGGACCTTAAACACAACCTGGAAGTAGCACAAGATCACATGAAAACACAAGCAGATCGACATCGCAGGAATGTGCAGTTCTCTCTAGGAGATCACGTGTACCTTCGACTACAGCCTTACCGATTTAAATCTCTGGCCACAAGGTTGAATGANGGTCAGCCTGCTGTGATGAAAGGCAATGTTGAGAACATTCATATAATTCACTGGGTTAGTCCATTTCTTGAAGGAGGTGATGTAAGAAGCATTGTTGATCAGAGGCTAGAAGGAAATTTTGACACAAATTCTGTTTGGAAAGCTGTAGAGGCAGCAATGGAATGTTTGCCACCAATTTCCATCCAGAGGCCAAGTATGAGTCATGTGGTAATGCGATTGAAAGAGTGTTTGGAGATGGAAATTGCTTATGAACAAGCGTCACAAATTGAGAGTCAAATGATGGAATCAAACAATTCAATGGACATGGGTCCTGTTGATCTTGAAACAGAAAAGGGTCCTGAAGCAAGATAGGAAGTAGACTATTGAATCATGGTTTAAGTTTATAATCTTATGCAAAAATGAAACACTGAGATATGAGAATATGTAAACATTTTAGGAATTTGAGAGCTCTGGAATGAGAAATGTAACAGAATATTTTGTTAGCCTTTCACGTTAATTGGCAGTTGAAATGAAAATTCTGAAAACCAAAACTTTTTACCATTCAATCGATGAAAATGACAGCAAAATTTCCAGTTTGGCTGCAATTTGATTTGCAGAGATAAATAGCATAGGACACTTAACTGGAGCTTAAAGAGCTGGTCAAGTCATATTTTTTCGGCTCCCCTTTCTGTACGTTATAACTAAAAGTTAGTCAACTATTCGGCTAGACCCAGACAAAGGGTTGACTTTTTCTAGAACTCTATATTTAGCTTGAAAGTTTAGAAATTATGCACAACTTGGTGTTGAAATCAATAATTGTAAATTAAAGACATAAAAATACTTGTTGATAAATTAAACCCTTTTATAGTGCTCTAGTTTAAACTCTTTTCACTAATGATGTGTGATGTGACACATCACAAAAGCCTGGACCCTATACAACTTCTAAAACCGAGCTGTACTCTCTTCCGCAACATCCGCTAGATTAATTGAAGTCCATGGCACGCTTTATGAACCAAACACACAGGTAGGACTTAATATAAATGTCCCACAACAATTTAACTGAATTTCGAATTGTTAGACCTCCCATACATAAGGTCTATAAATCCAAGGGCAAAAGAAGGAATAAGAATAAAGAGGTGCTGGGTATGAGTTTGTTTTCAGGGGTTGAGGTGTGCAATAAAAGTTGTTAGGATTTTGGAGTCTGTTATGAGTCTGGACAGGTGGCGGGACAGGTGGTTGTCAAGTCTGTTACAGAAGGGAATAACTTGCTTATAAATGGGAGAGAGAGTGGAGGGTAGGCACAGAGTTTATATTCTGGAAATTGGGTGGAAGGTCCCCAGCTCCTCGAACTGCTGGGATTTATCAGTTTTCTAATTGCATTTGTTCTGTTCTTTCATTCAGTAACTCTTAATACAATCTGCCATTCATATTACCTTTGCCTATTGCCTTGTGTGTGTGTGTGTTGGTTGCCGTGAGTTTCTGTGTGACAGGAGGGTTCCAACACGAACCAAAAGAGATCAACATGTTTTGTGGTGGTGGGCAGGCACAATTTTTTGTTCTAAAACTATGTCTGGTCATTTTTCAAGTCATCATTTCTGTCAGCAACACAAAACTAGCGGTAGCAGATAATAAACATTCTGTCATGAACGTTGCCAGTGACCCTTCTGGTTAGTATACATTTCACCTTACAGAATTCGGTGTATAATGCTTTGTGTTTAGTTTTCAATCCTAAGTAAATAGTT